CGTAGTGATACTGCCTCGGAAACCCAATGAGGGGTCGCTATGAGTCGGGGCCGACTCGATGGCACATAACAACAACAACAACAACATAGAACCGGCCGAGTAAACCACAGATCGCGCCTACATAGGAGAGCGCCAACCGGCCGCCCGTGAGCGGCTCGCGGCGCCCCCATGTGGTCGGAGGCCAGCTGTGCCTCACAGGGTTTCAGTGGCTAATTTGTTGGACCTGGATGGTCAGGCCTTTGGGTGGACTTGACTCCCAGCCTTTCGGCGGCGCGTTAACCCTTTGCACCACGCAGGTGGGACCGTGCTGCTCCTGCTCCTCGCTGCCGCATCGATTCCGACTCGCACAGATTCCGTGCGGGCGGCGGAGAGCTGCGCCCGTGGAGAGTCCGAGGCTGGGGCCTTGCAGAGGCAGATCGCCAGGCCGTACTTCCGCGGCACCGCTAGGTGGGTGTGGTGAGGAGCGCAGCGTCTCCCCACGTGTGCCACTCAGGGACTCCTATGGGTCACTGCACTACTATTAAAATGAATGAGGCGGCTAGGTCAGCACGGGACATGGGACGATCTTACAATGTTTTCTTTAATAACACAATCTCATGTGGAGAGGAGCAGAAGAGGGCGGTGTGTTATACAGAGATTTCTGCATAGAATTCTTTTGGAAAGATGCACAAGAGATTGATACAAATGGGTTGTCCCCACAGAGGGGACCCGGGTGGCTGGAGGCCGGGTGGGGTTTTCACCATAGGGCCTTTCTATCTAGCGCGGCCTGAATACCTCCCCCAAATGTCCCCCAGGGCTGTAGCTTCCACCGAGCCCCAGCCTGTGCACAGAATCTTCCCAGGAAACCGCTTCCCAATTCCTCACTGCAAGCAACCTCCCTGGAGGCGGACCCCCTAAGCCAGGCCCCCTGCAGTTCCTCCACCTTCCTCGCCTCCTCCTGTCCTTTGACTCCCCTTCTCTCCTGCCCCGTCCCCACTTCTGTCCCCAAGGTCCCACTCTGAGCTTCTTCTCCAACCTCCCCCTCAGTCCTGTCCCCCGCACAGCCCCAGAGGGGTCTTTCTGACCCTGGCAGCCCCTCAGCCTTGTTCACTACCCTCCCAGGGGCTCTACCACCCCCAGGGGAAGGTTCCCGGCCTGGCCCCGCCCACCCACCCAGCCCCATCTTTCTTGGGCTCCCAGCCTCCAGTCCTCAAGCCTGGCCATTCTCCCAGTCTGCCCTGGTTTCCTGCCATTGGCCTTTCCTTCAGCTAGGTCCTCCTCGGCCTGGGATGCCCTTAACTGCTGCTCGCTCTCTCAACAATTCCAACCAAACTTCTTCTGGTTCTTGGGGGCCCGTACCACAGCCACGCCCTCTCTGTAGGGCCTTTCTGCAGGCTTCGAGGTTCCCTACAAGGATCCCTTCCTCCCCCGGGGTCCCGCGTCCTCTGGCCTTCCCCGCTGTTGTACCCCATCACCCCTGGACTGGGGCTGTCTGCCGCTGGGTCTGTCTCCTCTGTCAGACTGAGCTTGGCAAGGACAGACTTGTCTGATTCACCTCTGAGTCCCTCGTGGGGGGGGGGGAGGACGCTGGTGGGGAGACCGAAACAGGGAGGGAAGCAGGAAGACGGGGAGAGAGGGAGGGAGAGAGAGGGAGGGAGGGAGCGAGAGAGAGGGAGAAAGGGAGAGAAGGGCAGACCCTGATGAAGGGGGGCTGTGAGGAAACAGAGGAGAGACGGAGGGAGAGCTCCGGAGAAAGGAAGGAGCCGCAGAGACGGGCGCAGAGAGAGCGTGAGGCCCAGGGAGGAGGAGACAGCCAGAGGAAGGTAACAGACAGACGGAGAGAGAAAAGGAACGAACAGGAGGGACGAGACGCTGGAGACCCCCAGACACAGCCTCTTTAGGATGGAGACACGGAGAGAGAGACCCGAGAGGGGCAGAAGGGGGGGGGGGACAAGAAAACAGAGAGAGAGACGGAGAAGGAGAGAGAGGAAGAGAGGGCGAGATGAGGGAGGGATGGAGGGAGAGAGAAATGGGAAGAGATGGAGGGAGAGATGGGGGGAGAGAGGGAGAGATGGGGAGAGAGGGAGAGATGCAGGGAGAGATGGGGGAGAGAGGGATGGGGGAGAGAGGTGCAGGGAGAGATGGGGAGATGGGGGGAGACAGATGGAGGGGGAGATGGGGAGAGATGGGGAGATGGGGGAGACAGATGGAGGGGGAGATGGGGGAGAGAGGGTGAAATGAGGGAGAGTTGGAGGGAGACAGAAATGGGGAGAGATGCAGAGAGGGATGGGGAGAGAGAGGCAGGGAGAGATGGGGGAGAGGTGCAGGGAGAGGTGCAGGGAGAGACGGGGAGAGCGAGATGTACCTGCAGAGAGAGCTGGAGGTGCGGATGGAGAGGGAGAAGGGGTGGGACACGGAGGGAGAGGGCCCCGGGGGCAGGCCCCGGCCCGGAGGAGGGCGGCCGGCAGGATG